TGAAAGCCTATAATTAGATTATAGCTATTTTTCACTTTTCTTGCTTCAAATAGCAAGGAACGAAAGAAAGAAATCAGAGTATCAGATAGTCATATATCTGTATACGAATAGCGGACCTATCTCATGCCTTATTAATACACAATAAGCATAATGCTATATATTCAATTGATGAAGGTTTTAATTATGTCTGACACCATAAAAAATTATAAGAAAAACTTTATTAAATCTTTCGAATACCAAAGTGTAATACTTTAATCATTATTTTTTTGTAATCAGGAGCCAAAATTGAAAATCTGTGGAAATAAACAATACCGATATGTGCGAAAACAACAAATATATATGCTACATAGTTATTTGTTTTTTTTCTTTTTCTTCTTTGTTGACTCATTATTTGACTTGATTTCACTCTAAAAATACGAACTAAACAATGCGCAGATATTGCCTTTTTTTCCTTTGATTTTTTCGTTTAGTGACTATAGTTGATTCCTATAATGAAGCAAGTACATCATAATCACAATCTTTTGTTTTATCTTCATAATTTTCTGATACATTAACATTTATTGAATCTGTTATTAATGATTCAGGTTTTTTTTCGTTCTTGATCTTCAGACTTCCTATAAAAGAGGAAATCAGTTATGTATAATTAAACTTTTAATAAAAAAATTGACACTCACTTGTGATAAATGTATTGTTCATTTTCTTTTTGTGTTTGTTTAAGATGATGAGATTATTAAGAATTAATTATAATTTATCTATAATATTCATCGAATAGACGAGAATAAGATCTGATTCTAATGAAAGTGCAAAATAAACACCATGATTTTCAATTTGTTTTTAATAATATTTAAAAATTTGATTCAAGACGTTTCTTTTAAATCTTCGACGTAAATTTTAAATTAATCTAATTGTTGAACCTAAAACAAATAAAGAACACATTTTTTGATATTCAATCAAGTAATAGCTAAAACAAATCATCTCAGGTTCATACAGGATTAGTTTAAAACAGCTAGAGAATTGAATGTTTTTGAAAGCATAAACTAACCTCAAAACAACTAGTAAAAAAAAGTTAAATATACTGAGCTTATGACTGAAAATGTTTTTTTTTTTAAATAGATCAAAGGTAAAAACAAACATCTTCTCGTGATATACACAAGGAATGTAGAATACGAAGATGTTTCCATAGATCGATTTCTAAAGGCGCAGCTCGTATACTGGTTCAACAGCAGTAATCAGATTCAGTGAGTTCTGAATTTCCGGATTATTCGAAAAAGGTTTGGGTTTCGGTTTTCTCTACATTCACAGCAGCATATATATTTGAATATTCACGGAAAAAATTATATCTCACACTTGTCATTTTTCATAGCATTTCTAGTATCGTAAATTTCAACACTACTACAATTATTTTAAATTCTTGTGGATAAGCAAAGTATGATGAAGTCAATTTCATTTAAAACAATAGAGTTGATCTATTATCTAAGTTCCAAGTAGTTCTTGAGTTCTGTAAGTGAAATTGCACTACTAAGAGTTCTATGAGTTCAGAATTCACGAAATTCAGATACTCTTGAGTACCGACTTTTTTTCGTGAAAGTAATCTTGAGTCACGAATAGAGATATTCGGAATCAACTTTTAGTTCTGGTCGTGGTAAACGAAGCTGGAATCGGTACCACAACTAAGAGAAAAAATTTTCCAAATTTCAATTAAAGATAATAATTTAAGTAATTCTATGATTTTAAGTGAATCATATCGGTCAGAAAATAATGCATGAGAAATAATCGAAAAAAGGTGATAGTCGTCTACTAAATAAATAAAAAACCGAGTATTGGAGAAGCATATGTCTAATTACCAATGTTCTGTTGATTGGATTAGTATGTAATGACAGCAAGGTTTTATAAGACAGGTATGAGTTAGCTCATAATACGATCTATTTAAAGCAATAAAATAAGTACTAGTGATAGCCTTGTCAACTGTCCCCATAAAGCGGGAAAATAGAGCGATGCTCTAATGGCAAATTCTATAACAAAATCAGTTGGAATCAGCAACGGAAACAACAAGTGAACATGATGGGCAAGGAAAGTAAGTAGAAGAAATCTCAAATCGAAAGCTATACATTGGTAACAAATTATGTGAGTATCACAAAATGAACAACAGTCATCCGATAGCTACATTAAAATTATTTCATGACTGTTGGTCATAAGAGGCATCCCCATTCTCACTCTAGTTGAATAATAGAATAGCGAGAGGTCCAATTAATTGTTCAGCTTTTGTATATTCAAGTTACTTTATATACATTAAATTTTTGTTTTTTCCACTAATATGTTTTATAGCTATATGACATGGATAATTTTCAATTAATTTTCATGCTGGATTCCATGTCGAAATTGATGGAACATTTTTTGTTCACGAAGGAATTCTTTAAATGCATCCGTAGCTTTTTTCTTTTATGCATATTCAAGTTTTTATTGGTGGTTCATTTTCTGTTGTTGATGATCTATACCTGTTAGTAGAGTTACTATTATATGACTATTAGAAAATAAAATAAATGACAACTGCAATAATTTAGTCTTTTCGTCATAGAAATCAATGAGAAATCGATTATTCTTTTTTTCTTCAGAAAATAATTCAATAGTCATGAAATTTTCTAAATGTCATAGCTAGCATGTAAAATCTAATAATGTTTAGTAGCAGAATTGCTCATCAAGTCAGTAGCACAAATGATGCTTTAATAATTTCATTATGATAGTGGTACAATGGTGGATTAAAAAGAAGGTGATTGTCTTTCCTTTCGAACTAGTTTTCGTTTTTTCTTAGTAGAAAACGTCCAAAAACCAGTCGATATGAGCTCTCATTCGACTTGAAAATATTTTCTATGGGATTGCATCAATTTCGCAGTTGACTTTCGACAATTGCCGCAAGTTTTGTAATAGGCCATGAGCGATGTGACTACTCGCACTCAAACTCTAATTAGTGGATTTACCACCTAATCCAGACTTTTGGCGATCGCTCAAAGTCGGTACTGCGACATTCATGTTTCCCGTTTTGTGACTATGATTGACCTCATTTTCTCAAAGCTTTAATGCGACATTGTGGTATTGATAGCTTTCTTCTTGAAGAACAGTGTAAAATTGTATGACTTTGCAGAGAATTTCAGTGTTTGCAAGTGCAAAATCAAGAGACTCGATGAATTTCATGAACTCGTATTAACAGTTCTAATTTAGTAGAGTCACAGCAGTGAAAATCGAAGCAGTTTTTGAATACTATCGTGATGCACTAGCGACAGTTTTTCGACCGTGATGAACATTTCTGTTTAACAGTTGAGTATATTTCTTAGCAAGTTATTCGACTATGTTTCTGAAGATTTATAAATGAAAATAAAAATACTTTCTAGTGTTTTTTTAATTTCAACCAGTATGCTTTAAGAGTATTCCCCTTTTCAAAGTTTCTGGAAAACAGTTCCTAAGAAAATTTTGATATTTTCAGAACACATACATCTTGATGAGTAGAGGTAAGATTGCCATAGACTTTAAGTTCTGAGATGCTGTCTTGTGTGAGATACTAGCATTACAATATCAAAAAAAGTCTCTTCCCTTTCTCCAAGATGCTATATTTCATAGAGCCGGAAATTGTTTTACAGACTGTGAACACTGTTTGAGGTCTGTATGTTTTTATTTCTTTTCTTTGGAATAAAAAAGTCAAAATACTGAAGGTATCCTAAAAAATGATTGGTTTTTTAAATAGAACTATCAAAAATCAGTAGAACAATAATTTATGAAACAAAAAATCTATCCATCTCCAAGAGTGTATAGTATGTGTGAAAACAGTTTTAGTTCGATCAGACGTACTAGGCTAAACTTGGTTTCTTAATATCTAAAGACAAATCTTGAACCTGAACATGTACTCAGGAAACGTAATTTATTATTTGTGGTACTGTGCCGTTTTGAATTTTCGTTATTGCTATTTCAGTTTATGACAATAAAAACAGCATTCTTAGATGTCTGTCATAAAACTTTATATATGTATTCAATAATTCCAATCATATTTCTCTTACATGTATGGTAATTTCTTATTAATTGACTATTGTTGTACAATCATTTTTTCCATATCTTGTAGTTCGTTTGATTTTGTTCATCGCGAACCTTCTATATCAACATTATGATAATGGGTATAGCCGTTTTCAACTTTTATTCACGCTAAGGGTACTGACACAACATAAGCTATAGAAACAAGAGATAGTATTAAGAAGATATTTCTAAATAAAATAATACCAACTGCAACAGACACTTTTAATCCATCAGGTGCTTTATGTTTTGTCCATAAAATCTCTTTTTCGTCTTGCTGTACTTGTGTAACCTTCTTCATCCTTCAAATAAAATTAAATTTAGAGTAAAATAGTTTTAAATGTTTCTATCTAATTGTGCAGAATGTTGAAATATCTCCATAAAAGCTTCTTATTTATCGTAGAGAATAACTTCTATGAATTGATTTTTCCTATGATAATATGATTATAATTCACCTTTTTTACACTATACACTAAGACAACAAAAAGAGTATCAATAAATTTGATAAGAAAAAATGATTCATTAATCACTTACATTCAACTAACAGTGTTGAAATAAGTGAAGAAACCGTCCTCATAGACCATACCATTATTGGTTTTGACGGATATTGACTATCAGTGTAGTCAGCTGGTACATTTTTTTATTTGATTTATTGTGTAAATCAATAATATTCAATTTAAATAAATGACAAAAAAGTATTGCATTCATTCATTCACATCTGTTGAAAACCATATTGGTTTAAATATTATACCATTCAATCATGATTCAAAAAGATGTCATTATAAGTCATAATTGTCCTAGAACAGTTTGTTTGATGTATGCACCATCACAACCTGCATAAAAATGGCTGGTAATCAAGGTTGTGAATGCTTTCATTCTTTGTAAATATTAACAAAGATTACTTCAAGTGTGAAACCCTGATAAATTCCATTTGAAAATTGAAAATGACTGACAGAACACGATCATCAATGCAAAATGTATCTTGTCTTCGTTCACATTCATGTCATGATAGTCGAGATAAAGTTAATCGTACGGACAAACAAAAAAATAAATACAAAAACACACTGACTATTCATTTTCTATCTTAATATTTATCTATTTAATTAGGAACAGTTAGTGATTTACATCGACAAACAGTTGATCGTGCTCAACGTCGTTTTGAACAACAATTAGCTAAAAGTGAACGTGAAGTAAAATTAGCTATGAATCAACGACGTGATTATTCTTCATCACCTGCTGAAAAAATTCAAGCAACACAATATCTTGAACATCTTCGAACAACACTCAATAATGATTATACACAACTTATCCAAGTAGGTGAGCACGTTTTTTTTTTTTTTCTTAATTTCTTTTGCTCTTCTCATTTTATTATCTTTCTATTTGTTCATATTAAATTATTTCTAAAAAAAGATACATAATAAATTTCCTACAGGCTTATGTTCATGAACATAAGGTAAGTATTCGGCTAGCTAAATGCTTTAATTATATCTTCTTCTTTGCTCTAAAATAAATGCTATATCAGTGTTGCTCATGGATTATAAAAAGGTAACTCTGACGCTTGTTCAACAAAAAAAAAACATTTTTCCCTTTTATGTGAAATAAGTTTAATAATTTTTGACAGCATTTACATGATAAATAGGTAAAGTAATCCAAGAAAGTCATATATTTTACTTGCAAATGAACAAGTTAATAAGTATTATATATCATAACTATTAGATTTAGTATCTCTGGAGGGCCTATGTCAGATTAGAGAACAGGAAGATGACATTAGAGTATTTTTAGTCAATAGGAATACGATATTGACTTAATGATGTGAGGAAACAAAGTCGCGTATGCTCGAAAATTAGATCTGCAAAATTTGCGGTTACTGTATCATACTGAATAGTATTAATTTAGCCAAACAAAACATTCAGAAGAAAATGTACAAATAACTATTGTCGGAGACAAAAATACTGACCAGAAAAAAAAAGAATCTCAAGGTTTCATCAAGAAACCATATTGATTTCTCATCTTTTTCTGTAAAAGATCGTTGTTTATATGTATTATGAAAATTCATAGATGGTATAGATAGACAATAACTCAAAGATAAAAATAGATTTTTAACAAGTGCGACATATTTTTCAATTTTATTAATTTTTCTTGTAAGAAGTATTGTTTTTTTTTCATTATCAATTAATCAATATTTCTTTTTCATAGATTTAATCAAAATTTTTTCTATTTACTTCGGCTAAATTAATACTTATCATCGCTTTTCTTCATTCGAAAATAATTTCTCGAGCAAAAAAAAGAAACTTCAGCATGATATAATAATGATTTCAAACTTTTATTAATAACGAAAAAAGCACACACATAGATTTATTTCTGATATGAGCGGATTGTCAAAATAAATTTCAGAATTTCTTTTTTTCTCAATATTGAAGGAAGATCATTCTGAAAGTTTTATTATTAAGCTCAACTAATATTCTTTTTTATTTGCTTTACTATATACACTATCGAAGTTACATAACTTCATTGCCAACATAACTTCTATATGTTAAAATAGAATATCAATTATCTAATAGATGTGTTGTTTTTTTTTTCGAAAAGGATAGAGTTGATGAAGTAGAAAAACATATGAATCAACGTCATGATGAAGAACTTCAACTTGAAAAAGTAGTAGCTCAACGAAAACTTCAAGTAATAAGACAATGACAACAAGTTTTTTTTTTTCACCACTTTCTTATCTACATAGGAAGCTTTAGAAGAAGCACAAGTGCAAAGTGAAAAAATGCGTCATGAATCAATTAATCAAATAATACGTGAACGTGATGCAATTTGTGAAGAAAAATTAGCTGCTCAAAAAACGTTAGATATTCGTTTTATTGTTTTTTTTTTATAATTAATCTAAATCTATTTAGTCTTTACAATCGTCTTCTTCAAGAACAAGCTCGACGTTTACGTGCTGAACAAGCACTTCAAAATAATGAATCATCAACATTTACTGAACATATTGATATGGCAGAATTAAAAGGTCGTTTAGCTCGTGTAGAATATGAACATCGAGAATTAAAACAATTAATAATTGATTTACGTACAGATCTATCGAGTATATTTACTCAACAACCAAAATATAAAAGTACAGTTAATATACCAAATTTTATTGTTAGACCATAATTTTTTCATGTAATTTTGTTTGCACAAAAGAAAAAAAAGACTTAAATACATTAGATTTGACATTTAAAAAAGCATTAATACTGTTTTTTTCTTTATCTAATATTAAAAACAAAAATCAATGCATTATTCAAATCTATCATTGTTAAAAGAAAAAAAATATTTACAAGATATGAATAGCAAAATATTTGAATGAGTACAATCAACTTAATATATTCAGCAGAAGTTTGACTTCAAAAGAATAAACTATTGAATTATTTTGATTTTCGTTTTTTGTTCTGATTGAAAATGATTTTTTTGCTAATCAATTTGAAAAGAATGAAATATCTTATTTATTTAATTAAATAAAATAAAATCTATATTCTAAATTTAACAAATCATGATTAATAATATAAGATGCTGGCAAAACGGTATTCGAGCAAAATTTTTATTGTCATGGTTGAATAGAACACATCGTGTTATATCTAATAATAATCTTTGCGTAATAAAACTTTAGAAAATTAAGTTTACGAGATCATAAAAACTTTAAAAAAAAATAAAATATTCTAAAAGCATTAAGTCTTCACAGTTTTAGTTTTTATCCAAAATAAATTTTTGACTGGATTTCTCAAATAGCTATTTAAAAAATTATGCATTTTTTTGAAAAATACTATTTAGTTATTGAGAGAAATAATGTTTTTGTGCATATAATAGCAAAATGTTATTAACACTGATTTTGATGATTGAGAATGTCAATTCATAATGAAACAAATGTCAGTACTTAGAATCTACAAAAAAAATCTATATCGAATAGGATATTCAATAATTAATACAAATTTTTCGGTCCACTCTCATCAATGAAACAATCTTTTTTATTTTCCTAAGCATATGATGAGTAGAATAATAAAATATCAGAAGAAGATTGAGGCTATCAGAGCTTGATGCTTTTGGCTAATAACAATTTTTAGAAGTGTTCCTGACTTCCTTTTTTATTTGATTTTCTTAAGTTCTATCACAAAGTCATTGTTGAAATATGCGTAAAACAGTTTTTTTTTAGACGTAATTCAACGAGCTCTATTCAAACATGACAAAAAGATTTAACGGAAAATCATTAATTATATTAAAAAAGAATTCTTGAAAATCTTTGACATTGCTTTCATAATTATTATCGTATGAACCTGACAACAAAAAGAAAAGAGTCTAATAAAAGAACAAATTTTCTAATTGACATATTACCCATAGGTTTACATATTCGATGGAATGACCTACATAAACAATTGTATTTTTGGAAGAAAATCATGACATATGGCACCATATCAATTCAAGAACAACTTAAGACTACTAAAAAAACATCACTCTTGTTGATATTTTTCATAAATTTATATTATTTAAATAAACGACGCAATAATGAACATAATCAATAAAGAACTTCTTTTTTTTTTTTTTTTCAAACATGTTATTTTAACGATGTACAAATCAAGGATTGTTACTTTTTACATTGCATTGACGTAGAATGTATTATTTTTTTTTTTCTTCAACACATTAGAGCTCATCAAGATTGTTGAGATTGTATATGTTGCCATCGAGAAAAAAGAAAATTGAGAATGAAAAAAAAAAATACCTTATGTAACATTCAATTTCAATAATAGAAAGTATAAGAAATATATACATTGTCTTGATTCAGTTTATTTTTTTACCATTTATAATGACAACACGTCCTAATACAGTTTCAACGAATTTATCATCTATACAACGTCGACAACATAAATTAACAAAAAAATCAGCACGACATACAGAGCGTATAACACCTATTCGAATTGATATACGTCGATCCGAAACAACATTATCACCTAATGATGAACTTGAATGTCGTCAAATGTATGAAAAACTACAACGATTACAACCAAATGGTGTTTGTGTTAATCTTAATACATTACGTCGTGCACTTTTTCCTCCTATTTCACTTCCCAAAACTTCGATTGATCAACTATTAACATTTAAAACTTATCGTCAACAGTAATAAAATTCAATTAAAAATTTTTATATGTTGTGTTTTTTTTTTTTTTGTTTTCGTTATTTTAGTACTGACGAAATACCACGTATACGAACATATGATGTTCCAAAACAAACAAAAGTAAATAAAATAGATTATATGAATATCGATCGAATTATCAATCAAGTTAATCAACATGCAGCAATTAATTATAGTTATTATACACGAACTAAATAAAAAGAATATATTTTTTGTTGTTTAGTGTTTTATTGCAATGTCAATGAAATTTAAATTGAAAACATAATGAAATAAATAAGAATCTTCTTTGATCACATCTATAATATTAAAAATATTTTTACTATCTATATAGCTTAGGTGATGATAATTAAACTGAATTATTTCTAGCATAGCACTAACTACTTTACTCAACAAAACGTTCTTCTTCAGTCTTGTAAAAAAAAAAGGATTTTGCGTAAAAGTAAACAAAAACATAATGTATACTATTTTTATCTAAAGAAAGATTAATAGATTACAATATGAGGAAAGCAAGAACAAAAATAACTAGACCTTTCTATTTATGTAGTACCATACAATTAGAATAATCTGTCTGACTAACTAGACATCATGATTAATAATACTAAGACTATTTTTAGCAGTGTCTTTTATTTATTTTTCGAATTGTTTTTAATGCTTGAAGGCATTTGTCATATATTTTTAATTTTCAAAAATTGATCTCCATATTTTTGTTTTCTAGCATAAATTAATATATTAGTTGTTAGTTACATCCTTAAAACAAATCTTTGAAGAATTATTCAATTCTTCTGCTGTCAAAAATATTTAATTTTTTTTTTCAATGAAAAAGAATACATTCGTTTTCTTGGGTTTTCCATAAAACAAGATATTCGAAAGAGTTTAACAATCTTTCTCAATTATTGAGCTTTGCATGCATATCTGTTTGTTGCTATCAGATTTCATGATATTCAATATAATTGAATCTGGACTAGATCATTATCAATATTAATTTATGTTA